CGGCAGCCGCCGCGGGCAGGAGGAGCGGGGCTGCCATGCGGGCGGGCGGCCGCGGCGCGCGGGGCGGCTGAGCGCGGCTCGGGGCCGTTCGTCCCGCTCGCCCCGTTCGGTCCCGCTCGCGGGAGCCGCCGGCCGGCGGGGAGCGGCGCGCGGGGCATGCCATCCGCTCGGCCCGATGTTCCACTGGGGCAAGTGGAAGAAGAGGATGGGAGCGAGCGCCTCCTCCTCCAAGAGACCCGTGTTCGACGAGCGGGAGGACGGTGAGCGTCCCGTCCGCACCTGTTGCGGGGCCCGGCGGCGCGGGGCGGATCCGTGGGGAGCGGCTGGGCGGGCCGGGAAAGTTCGGGTCGGAACGGCAACGCGGGGACGTGCGGGGCTGCGGGAGGGAAAGTTGGAGCGGAGCGGCCGGGGGAGGTGGGGCGGGGAGACGTGCGGGATGTGCGCGAGGGGCCGGGGAGCACCGCGGCCATCCGTCGGGACCGGGGAGGCGCCGGCCCAGCGGTAATTCGCCTCGTTCGTCTCCATTACCGCTGGGCCGTAGAGGAGCTGCGTGTCGGAGTCCCGGCTCGCAGGGCGGTGCGCTGTGGGCTGAGCGCAGGGTGAAGCAGCGGGCGTTGCGGGAAGCGCCGCCGGTCCCCGGCTCCCGTCAGTTGTAGCCGTGTGTAAGGCCGGCACCGCGCTGCCCTGCACAAACAACCCCGCGGCTTCTCGGGGTGTTGCGAAAGGGTTTGGCCGTGGATGTGGGCCGTCAGCAGGAGCGGTGAGCAGTGCGAGTTGGGGACTTTGCTCCAGAATTCAGACAGCGCTGCGCTCTGAGCTGCGCCTGCACACAGCCTGTGCGGAGAAATGGAGCTCTGCAGGTGAACCGCTGCTGGCCAAAAGCTGCTGGCGCTGATAACAGTGATTGCGAGCGGTGCTCTGCGATGTTCACCAGCACTGCTGCTCCGTGTGCCTGCTGGGCTCCGTGCTGCTGTTCGGCTGCACGCCTATTTGCTGCGCAGCATGGTTGCTATGGAGATCCCTTAAGACATCCCAGTAAGTTCCTGAGATAAAGAAGGCAGTTAATACTTTGACTCTGTGTGTGACATTGTGCGGAGTGATGGCCAGTGCTGATGATTTTAAGTAAAATAATAATAAAGAATATAAAAAACGAATAGGTGGGGACATGATGTTTAACCTATGGTTTCCCAGTGATGCACATACAGGAGCCCAGCTGCCCTAAGCCAGCGTCCGACTCCTTTCAGTTGTGGAAGGGTGTGTACAAAGAGGAGGTGAATGCTTATTCTCCTAAGTAATAACACGAGGTCCAGAGATTGCCCTGCAGGTTAGGGCATAGAAATGCTTGGTGCTGCCTTGCCTGGCTGACTCGGGAAGGGCTTTGGGCTGGGAGCTGCCTGCCTGACTCTGGCCCCCTGTTGCTGCTCCGTGCTGTGTGACTGCAGCCTGTATTCCTGGGCTGCTGCACTCCAATTAATTGTTGCAATTATATGCAACGATATATAAAAGTGCTGCAGGTCCTTGACTCTCAGGGAAAGCTCTGTCTGTCATTTGCTTCTCCTCTCTGCTCCCTCCAGCTCTGTCAGAATGGTGTCCTGTTCCCTGCAGGACATCTGGCTGTTTTTCAGGGCTCGAGGCAGTGCTGGGTGCAGCAGTGGTGCAGCCCCGCTCAGCCTTCCTGCCACCCACCTGGGCACCGGGCTGAGCAGCACCTGCACAGAGCAGGCTGGCACTGACCAGCAGCGTTCTGCTCCTCGCTGCCCTCAGGCTGGCTGTGCTGCCCCAATGCAGCTGCTTCTGTTAGCACTGCTGGGGCCGATCCGAACCCCCTGGGGAGCGGCTCCCTGCCTCCTGCTGACGCTCACCTTCCTGGTGCTGTGCAAGACTGCAGCACGTGTTTTGCTGTTTGCTGGTAAAACCAACAAGCTGTTGGTTTGTTTCTATGTTTGTTTGCTTTCCCAAATGCAGAATACTCTTGTTGTGAAGCTAACAGGAATGCTTCAAGCCCAGTTAGAGACTGCTTACGGGTGAGCTGGGCTTGGGAGCTGAGATGAGCGGTAGAAGTGCATGGCAGGGGGAGCACAGCACAGCGCCGTGTGTGTGCGCGTGTGAGCACAGCGCCGTGTGTGCCCCGTACCCGAAGTGTGCAGGCCGGGGCTCCTCCCATCTTACAGTGGCTCCTACAGCCGTGCACGGCACACGAGGGGCAATGTGCAAAGTCATCCGGTGCTGTTCTACCTTCGGCTTGTGCTGAGCCGGGCTGATCCCAGGGCTCCATGCCTACGTGGTGGCACTGCCTCACATTCGCAGCAGATTTACGGGGCGTTAATATGGCAGCCTAATTGTTTTTGTCGCGATCAGCGCCTGTATCGGCGGTTGCGTGCCAGCACTGTGACCTGACTGCCGGTCAGGGCTGCTCCGCCGGCTTCACCTTTCTCGTTCCCCAGCCTTGCTCCTGATGGAGGCTCCCAGCAGCTCAGCTCCGGCAGGCCGGAGGTGCGCAGAGCAGGGCTGGGCGGTGTGACTGTGGGTGTTCTGGTTTCCCCTCTTGAGGAACGGAGCTCTTTGCTCAGGTGGGATTAAACCCTGACCGGGCACTGGGGGACGCTGGGTCCTGCTGGCGGTAGATGGCCGCTGGCGCTCGGTGCCGGCCGTGCCCGCCCCGTGGTGCCGCTCGGTGCCGGGCCGTCCCGCACGCACCGCACTCCGGGCCGCTCGGTGCCGCCGGGTCCCGCACTCCGGGCGGCAGGTCGGCCCGCGGCTGCTCCGCTCCGTCGCCATGGAAACGGGCGGCAAGTTGCAGATGTGGGGTAACGTGGGGAGTCATCTCGCGGTCAGTTCCGAGCGCCGTGCCGGTGGCTGTGCGGCTCTGCCCGGCACGGCGTGGCCGCGGGCGGCTCCCAGGTGCTGGCAGGGCGCAGAACGGAGCCGGGCCGGCAGCTCCCGCTCCTCTCCTTGCAGCTGCAGCCTCTCACAGGTGTGAGTTACGTTGTGCCAGGCTGCCAAACCACGCTTTTATTTCTCTTCCTGTTTTCTGATCTAATGGCAGCGTGTCCAGCTGAAAGGCAGAGCTTGTCTGCAGCCTGGCTCTCGCATGGCTGTGGGTTGGGAGCACAGATGCGTTTGCTGCCTGTTATTTTAGAACAAGAGGAATAAAGGCTTTCTGTATCAAAGTGGTAACTAAGTAAGTGTTGGGGGGGGAGGAGGAGGGAGTGAGAATCACAAGGAGGTGTCAGAAAAGCTGTGTTTAGTGTTGTCATTTGTTTCTTTGTGTTCTTTTTTTGTAAAGGATCTTTCTTCTTGCAGATCCATGGCCTTTTTTGGAGCATAGTTTACCCAGAGACAAGTGCTTGTCACACACTCCTGCTGCCTGAGCTGCCTAGAGCAGGAGGCACTTCGCCCCGTCTGGCGATTTGGAACTTTTGGCAGCTGTGCTTTCAGACGGTCAGGTGAAAACCAACCCGGTGGGCAGCTGAGGCTGCTTTCCTGAAGTCAAATAAGGAAAAGTTAACCGATCTGACAGCAGTTCATGGGATGCTGACTTTATTGGAATGCAGAAGGCAGATGAGAGGAAAGTAATCAAAGAACAGGTAGAACGTCAGATCAAATTGATCCTTCACCTGTCCTCCAAAGGTCCCAATCACTACAATCTGTGTAAAACAATCTGTTTGTGAACTGAGAATAGCACTGAAGAACACGCTTTTACGGGCTTCAACACCTTATTTGTCACATTAGAATAGCAGAAATACAGAACCTTTCAGGCTGGAAGAGCCCCCTGAGGTCCGCTGCCCACATCCCTTTGTGCCACATCCCCGGGGGTCTGAACTCCAGGGACGGGACCCCCAGCCCAGGGCAGCCTGTTGTGTTACTGGTGTGATGACCTCATTCTGCTGCTGCTTCCCCTGGTGCCTGCAGCTGAGTTTTCAAGGGGCTACAAGTGCAATTAAATGGAGCTGAACAGAAGCTACTGTGCGTGGTTCCAGGTAGTGCTGAGACCCAAGGCTGGCAGGTGCCTGGCACGTGGAGGTGCAGGTCGTGTGGTGCATAATGTCAGCTTTTGTAAGTTTAAAAAATACAACCTTGGGAGTGAAAGGTGTTGATTTG